GTTTTCCATATAAATTAACATATCATCTGCAAATAAGGATATCAACTGCTTAACTTTTTAGTACTTGCAGAGAGAATCCAGTGATACTCCCCTTGACCAGATTTTCAGGTTTCTTTGCTTTCATTGCTAGCATACACCTTTCAAGATTTTGCCATTCCTTTTCTTCCACATCGAAACAGGATAGACAGAACCACCAGAATATCATAGGAAAAGTGCTAGGCATAAGAATACAGAGAAATGGCAAACTAAAACATGTATTTTTACTGTGTGAGTATTTATGTAATTCTTCTTTACTTTATGGTCACTGTATATGAAAAAATAATTTAGATAAAATACCAATTGTTCCTTTCAGGTGCGGTGCCTAAAAGATTATGGAGAATTTGAAGTTGATGATGGTACTTCAGTTCTATTAAAAAAAAACAGCCAGGTATTTTTGTCTTGAGATACTTTAAATCTTCTAAGAGTACTAAATGATAGAAATGTTGGAATTATTATTAGCAAAATAATAATAGTCGTACCTTATGATGATCATTTATATTTTAAGCCTCATGTTACATATAAGACACCGTACTTTTACTTTTGTTAAATATAAAGATATGAAGCAAATGTTGTACCTACTGAGAAAAGGCTAATTAATTTTTGTGGATACTGCTTCTGTTTAACACTGAACATTTTCCAGGAAAATTATCACAGTGAACCTTATTTTAGTTAAAATGGGCTTATTTTTATTAAAAGTCTGTTAAATTGTTGTTGAATTTAGTGCCTTTCCTTGAATTTTAATTTATTTAAAAGATAGATATTTTCAACTTTACTTCTGTTAGCAGGCAGACTGGGTGGATCCCTAACATGTACATTCTAATACAAAGCCTACTTAGTATGAAGAAATTGTAATAGTAACATGGCTTATAAGTACTTCTGACATGTCCCCAAATCCGAGTTATTAGTACTTATCACTCCAGTCTCACCTTTCATCAATTTGATCTCTCCCATCTTTCAGTACTACTTCTAAATCCTCAAGATGGGAGGCTTCTTTTCACTCTGACATCACATATGCTGTTTCCTATACATGGAATATTCTTATCAATCCCTCAATTTAAGCTCTTAAATTTTATATTAAGTATTATTTATTAAAACTCTTCCATGTGATTTGAGTCAGTTTAGTTGCTACTCTTATAATTTCCTAACATTCTGTACCTTCATCTGTTACAGAATCTGTCAGAGTTCACCATGTTTCCCTTAAACTAAGCTTTATAAGGGGTGAGCTATGTCTGTTCTATGTCTCTTTTTCTAGCAACTGAGATTTATTTGTGCTTAATGGAAGTTAACTGAATAAGAATGTTTGTATGAATAAAAAAGAATTTTAGTAGTATTATTGTACATAGAGAGAGGAAAGGATAATAATTGCCAATAAAACACTCAAATTTACTTAGCCCTTCATGGGTAAATGGTCAGCAAACAGGGTTGGACATGAGAAGGACTGCTGATACCCAAAAACTTGCCACAGTCTAAGGTACCCTTTGTCAGGAAACCATAGAAAAGGGGCAAAGGGGCCAGACTAGTCCAGGACAAAGGAACAAAATCAAAGTACTACTCAATGTAAAGTCTACCATTGTCGGCCTTTCCATGTGTGTCTCACCCACAGTCTTTTCCAAGTGTCTCTGCATGTCTCTATAGCAAGTGTCTCTTAATGTGTGTCTCCTGGTATTGCTCTTAAGCCCGCCTGCCTTCTGTGTTGTCTCTCACCTGGCAATTCTGCTGCATTCTGTTTTAGGTAAGGCAGGGAATAAGGTATCTTCCTCCTTTTGTGGAGATGCCTCTGTTATTACACTTCACCTTTGAATTTCTAGTACTAAATTTAGTAAGATGATAAACCTATAAACATAAAAAAAAGTGTTTAAACATGACAATGTAATAGGGAAAGATTGAAATTGTGAAATTATAACTTTAAACTTTTCCTCACAAGGAATCACAATATATTTAATTTATTGTTTCTCTAAAATCTTCATTTTGTCATTAATTTTTATCTTATCTCAATTTTCTGTGTCCCCATTAGTATAAGAGGAAAAGTGAACTAATACAACTATCTCTTTCCTTGCCTCCTCTTGTTATCAACCAGTTAGTGTCTAATGATCAGTCATAAGTCATTGAGTTGACTGTTTATGCAGTGGAGCAAAAGAATATTTCAGGTTATATAGTTCACTGAGATAGAGTGAGTTGATCTTTGATTTTATTTGTACTCTTGGATCTTTAAATTGTTTCCTGAAACAAAAGTTGAATATATAAAAGACAGATTTTCAGGGTACCCTGAAGTCCTTGGTTGTTAAGGCAAAATTTTCCCTCCCAAGTGTCTTCTCTGAAGTGTAGGATACCAATAAATAGAAATCAGATGATGAATTAATGCTTATAAAAATCTGTGTTTCCCTGGTGACACAATGGGTTAATACGCACAGCGCTGTGAGGTAGTCTACAGCCACTACAGCATGAGTTCCATCTCCAGCCAGGGAGGTGACCCACATAGTGTGACAGACCTTTCCTCAGCACTGTGTTTCAGTAGATCTGCCTATTCTGCTCCCCATTTTCTCTGGTGAATCATCTCTCCTCTCATACCTCTGGCCTGTACCCCCGTTCTATATGCATAAATAAAATAAATCTATTATAAAATAGAGACAGTGTGGGGAGCAGAGCAGGCATATTGAGGAAATACACTGCAGAGGTGAGCAGTAGGCAAGACGAGAGAGATCTGCTCACCGTGTGGGTCATCTCTGGGGCTGGGGATCCAACTCACTGAAGCGGCTGTGGCTGTAGCTGGCTTACATTGCTGCACTTTAACCTGCTACGCCACCAGGGAGGGCCCAATAAATCTTTAAAAAAAAAAAAAAAAAAAATCAAGTGTTTCTGGAAGGCCGGCCCAGCATGAATTCTGGTTCTCAAGAACAAAGCTATCCTTCTAAAGCAATGCATAAGAAAATGGCACTTCTTTTCAAACAGACCTGTGGAAAGGTTTTTGTTTTTTTTTTTAAAGATTTATTTATTCATACAGAACTGGGGTACAGGCCAGAGATGCAGAAGATGAGAGGATTCATCAGGGACAGAGTGGGGAGCAGAACAGGCAGATCGACGAAGTACACTGCTGAGGGGAGCAGCGGGCGGGTCAGGAGAGGTCTGCCGCACCATGTGGATCTCCTCCGGGGCAGGCGGGGATCGAACTCATGCAGAAGTGGCTTAGGCTTCTTTGTGCAGTGCTTTAACCCGCTGCGCCACCAGGGAGGGCCCAGAAAGGTTTTTTTTTTTTTAAGATAAAATTAACTGCAGTTGATAGTAAGGAGCTTTTAAAATGTGGTTACATCTAAAATGAGTTTTCTATGCAATGGTGTTAGCTCATCCAATGATGAAGAACATTAATAGGAAAACATTTTGTCGTAAGTGGCAACGTATTTTTACTTGTCTAGAAATCAAAACCTTCCCTCTTTTTAGTAGACACCAGAATATGTGTTACATAAGCAACTCAAATATGTTAGTGATCTTTCTCTTGTTTACATTTTAATTCTAAGCCTTAGAATTTCAGTTAACTTTAATTTTTTTTTAAGATTTTATTTATTTATGCATATAGAACTGGGGTGCAGGCCAGAGGTGCAGGTGAGGTGAGAGTATCCACCAGAGACAGTGTGGCAGATTAGTGGCAGTACACTGCTGAGGGGAGCTTTGGGGTAGGTCAGGAGAGGTCTGCTGTGTGCCATGTGGGTCACCTCCAGGGGCCAGGGGTTGAACTCACACTGAATCAGCTGCAGCTAGCTTACAGTGCTGCACCACCGGGGGGTCCTCAGTTAATTTTAAATACTAGTATTTAGGTCTTGTATGTCCATTTCTGGTTTGGAAACTTTTTTTGCTCTTGGATTCCCTAAGGCCTTTGCATTGATGAGGAAGGACCATTCGGTGCATAGTGCTGCTGAAGTTATCCTTTGCTCTTTTGCACCTACAGTTATTTTTTAAGCTGTCTGCTCTGTGTGCTTCTCCATATACTTTTTGGTTACTGAAGTGTATCTGTCTTCCTTGAAACTTCTTTGGTCATTTGTGAACTTGGAAAGTCTTCCTGCTTTGCTTTCTGCACCTCCTCACGCCAGAGTTTAGTAACTGTTCACTTCTGTGGTAAGCCTTTTCTGTGTTTTGAAAGGGATCAGATAAGGCAACATCTTTCTAAAAAGGAGAACCTTCTACACACACAGCTACTTACTACCAGCAGTTCACACTGTGACATGTGAATAGCATGCAAGTCTTAGGTAATAAATACTATTAATTCATTTTTTTAAAAGGATTTATCTACTTATGCATACAGAACTGGGGTACAGGCCAGAGGTGCAGGGGCAGTGAGAGGATTCATCAGAGACAAAGTAGGGAGCAGAACAGGAAGATTGACAAAGTACACTGCTGAAGAGAGCAGCGGGAGAGTCAGGAGAGGTGTGCTGGATCACCTTCTGGGCAGGGATCGAACTCATGCTCAAGTGGCTTTAGCTTCTTAGTGCTGTGTTTAACCCACTGTGCCACCAGGGAGGGCCACTCTTAATTCTTAAAAGGTACAGGAGAAGTGTTGCCATTGTTGTAATTGGAAGAATAAATGTATAGACTCTTATAACCTAGAAATTGTTTGCTGGAGAAGATGCTCCTTTCTTTAGTTTCTCTCAGTAAGTGCTGCACCACTTATAATCTGATAACCTTAAGCCACATACCCTCGTTCTCTGTTTATAAATTTAAAAAAGCAAGCACAGAGCTAAATTTAATTTAAGCAAACTAGAATTTCTGTATAAAAATCAGAATTCAGTACAGATCTAAGTAATATACCATTTCAGGTAGTTAAAACAGCAAATAAGTTTACCTTTTAACTACTTAGATGTTGGAGTTTAAAAAATAATATGTAATCAGTTGCTTTTTTTACAGGCAAATTTGATTATTCACATTATTTATAATACTAAGATTCATTATTTAGTAAAATAATTTTATAAATTAATGTATTTTATTGCAATTTCCTGTTGAAAGAATATCCTTTCCTTATTTTCCTTACAAATTTTTGACACCAATAATAGGATTCTTGTGAAAAAACTACAGTTGCTTCACTCTGCTCTGTAGGTCAGGAGAAATTCATGAGGAAGAAGTTCCAATCACCTCTTTGTTATTTTCTGCAATTTCCAGTCCTCTGTTTCTTCTGGTGTGTACTCATCTATATGTCTGGGTCTGTTGTAGGTTGAGGAAGCTGTTTCACTAATTCTTAAGAATACTTGCTGGTTTATGCTCACCTGAGAAAAGGTACAAACCTGTGCGTTAGCGTTCTGTGGAGGTTTTTTAGTAGTATACCATAAATAGCGAGTTTTACAGTTGTCACTGGATTCTTTTGGTACAGCTGAGCAGCTGTTGCTTGTTTAAATCTACCTGGGTAGCCAGTATGTGAGGAGTAGATTTCATTTGTTTCCCCAGAATGTAATAGTATTGTGTGTTCATTATGACAACATGGTCCTCACAGTCACTTAGTCCATTACACAGGTTTATGCGGCCTTGAAGTTTAATTGATGCCATAACAGTAAACTTGCCCATGGGGGTTGCATTTTCTCCTCTAAAAGATACCAAACCCAAGCAAAAATGGCCCTTGCTGGACTGTTTTAAAGACGCTCTCACCTGCAGGATGCTCTTCTTTTTCTAAGGTAATCATTTGCTTTTCATGATATCAAAAGAATTTTAAATCTTTTCATCATTGCTCTTTTTTCTTTCTCAGCACTTTCTACCTCGGTGGAAATGTGAGCAGCTGATTAGACAAGGAGTTCTGGAGCACGTCCTGTCGTGACCTCATACCAGGCTCTGCCAGACTTCAACTGCAGGGCGGGGTTAAACAGCTGCTGAAACATCTACACTTTTCACCCTTGCATCCCACCCCTCTTTGGTTGTGAAAGTTACAGACTTCCTTAAGGTAACCAGGAGTACCTGGGGAAGGAGCATGTTCTTTTTTTTAACAGGATTTCTCCTTTTTGTGATAAGCTGTACCTGTAATCACAACATTGCTGCATTGCTACAACATGAGCTTTTTCTAATGAAAATAAACTTTTACTGTATTTAAACCTCTTTAAAATAATGAGGAAATTTCTTTTGGCTAAAGAAATGTGCATCTTGTGTTCTGTAGTGTGCTTTGTATGAGCAGGGAACTGAGTTTCTGAATATAGGTTTTTCAAATGATATGAGAAGGTGGGAACGACAGGAACTAAATATTTTCAGTGTGTTTAGAATTTAATGACATACTTTATAGGAAAGACACAGTGGATTTTGCCCATTTCTAACAGTGGTGGCTGCTCTGGCTTGGCCTACACACCTGCTTGTTGAGTGCACCAGTATTGTGTACTGCTTCCTTGGAAAAGGAACTGAAATTGGGACTAGAGAAGAAACTTGATGCACTTTCCCCCAGGTCCCCTTTGGCCACAGTCAGGTGAAGAGCTGGTTGAGTGGCGTGCACTCTATTCTCTGATGAACTGAGAATGGTAAAAGCTGGAAAAACAGTGACCTCAAGTGGTCAGTGGCCTTTCCCTACCAGTCCCTGCCATGACCACCCAGTTCAACCCAGGACCTGGTGTGTGCTTTATGTTCAGGTTTATATAGGAGAACTTCTGACCAGTTATGCTCAAGAAATCAAGTTATAGAGACTTGACTAGAAGAGGACCTGTATATTTTCATAAGTGACCTACTTAGGTTAACAGGCTGCCCTTTGCAGATTGCCTTTTTTTTTTTTTTAATAATAGTTTATTTTTACATCATTTTGTGCCTTTTTCCATATTAGTTGTAATCCCTGTGGGCTTCTCATCATCAAATCACCCGTGTACCATAACCATAGTCCAGTGCACTTCCCATTCTATGCGTGCCCCCCTCCCCCGTTTTTGATTCCATTCCCCACTCCACCCCCATAAAGTGTCTCTGGTATGTAGTTGTTCATTATTATATATGTATATTTTTTTGCAGATTGCTTTTTTGTCTCTTCCCTCATACCCAGGTCACATTTTCATCTAAATCTCTGCTGATAAATGATAGGAAAGCTTCCCAAAGTGAAGTGGTGGGTGATGATGCTCTCCTACTGTGATCACTTTATCTCTCCTCTTCTAGTTAGGATGGACCCAGGGTTCATGGGAGTCTGTTGTGCTAAACAGCTTTGAGGACACCATGTCCCCACCCCCAACAGCATTCTTGAACTTAAATTAGATGATATAATTTTGTGGTAAAGCCTCAATAAAGTATACTTGCTTGAGTTGAATGTATACTACTTGAAAATTTGAAACTATTGAACTATTAATATTGAACTATTTAGAAATATGGTTAGAATTTAAACATGAATTCTTTTTTCTTATGGTGAGGATAATATATGTGCAATTAAAACGTAAAAGATGGACCCTCCCTGGTGGCGCAGTGGTTAAAGCATTGCACTAAGAAGCTAAAGCCACTTCCTCATGAGTTCGATCCCTGCCTGCCCCACAGGTGACCACATGGCATGGCAGACTTCTCCTGACCCGCCCGCTGCTCCCCTCAGCAGTGTACTTCGTCAGTCTGCCTGTTCTGCT